CAGGCCTAAAAAATGATAGAGTTTGATCATCTATTTTTTTTACCTCTTTTCATCAACTTCATTTTTTTTGTCATGACATTAAACCTGAGTCTGGTAGCGCTAGCTCGTATTAATTAATATATTATCTAGCTAACATAGTTATAATAATATAAATTTGATTTCATTATATATATATATTTATTCTTTGATATAAGAAAAATAACAATTTACGTAATCTTATTCCTCGTATAATACTCATATTATTTTATTATAAAACTTATTGTAATATAATGTCATTAATATTATTTATACATGTTATAGATGTAGTCTACTTCTTCTTTTTGTTTTATGTAATTAAAATTATTAATGTATGTTAATATTATTTATTAATGTAATTAATTTAAATTATGTAAATAAATTTAAAGCAAAACATTTTTTACAAACATTTTACAAAATATATACAAATGTTTTTTTAGAATTTTTTTTTATAATAAATAAACATCTTTGAAATACTATGCATGTATTAAAATCCTTGATATAAATTAGAAATTATACTTGAATTCTATGCAATTATTAATTTCGCCCGATGTTATGGGAAACAAATCATCAAGAATTGTAACAAAATGATAAGGAATTTTAAAATTTAAATTTTAAATGAGACATGTTTTTACTTGAATTCTATGCAATTATTATTTTGTCCGATTTTATGGCAAACAATTCATTCAAGATTTTAATGTAACAAAATGATAAGAAATTTAAAATATTTAATTTTAAATTTGAAATGAGACATGTTTTACTTGAAGTATATTTGTCCGATTTTATTGCAAAACATTTTATTAATGATGGAATTAATATAAACCGATTTTTTAGCTATAAAATAATAATGCAATTGAAAAAATGATAAAAATAGAATGCATTAATTATCCTTTGACTTTTCTTGTTACTAAATTTAGTAAATAGGATGGGGTAGTTTATTTATTTAAAAATAAAAAAAATTAACTGGACAAAAATAAAAGAAAAAAAAAATGAGTGGACCAAAATAAAACAGGCGTGTTCTGGGAATACGTTTTTCGAAAATTTTTTTTT